TAAATTAACTAATTAAAGAACATTTAAGGTGAATAAAAGTAATTGAAAGACAAAACACTTGTTGTTCATTGATTTAATTTTATATTGAGAGATAATAAAGACAATGAAAGCTTTACAATTATAAAACTTGTTGTTTATTGACTTTATCTTAATTACAAACAAGAAGAGAGAACCAACAAAGTAAATTCAATTTTATTGACAATATTATTAAGTACTTTTAAGACTGACTAAATAAATTACATCGGAAGGAAAAAAAAAAAAATTGGCGCATGCGTATTTTGGGCGCCCGTATTTTTTCTAAGTTTTTTGGCGGGAAAAATAAAAATTTTAAACAGATGTTACAGCAAGAAAAGGAAAAAAAAACGGCGCATGCGTATTTTAAGCGCCCGTATTTTTTCTAAGTCTTTTGGCGGGAAAATTAAACTCGGTCAAACCGATGTTAACAAGGAAACAACTTTTACGAAAAAAAATTGATATGTTATTATCACGAAAGAAAATGGATCTTGCTACTTATTTATTTAACATCTTCGAATGGAAAGGTTTTTTTGTCTTGCTTAAACTCGACTCTCCGAAAGTTAATGTTCGAGCCGCGATCGTGTGTAATTAAATTAGTTTCCTCTACCTCAGCACTGGAACTTGTTAATGGCCCTGCTTGGTTCGTGCTTGATTGCAACTTGAAACAGCGACAGGAGAAATTATTCAGCAATCTGTAAGAAAATAAAGAGATAAATCAATAAATACACGTCTCAACAAAAATAAAAATTAAATGTTGACATGTTTGTAGTAAGTTCGCCGCTTTTTGGCCGCGCTAACTTCGAAATGCGAGGAGCTGTCTCCAATTACAGTGCGATGGACCTATGCAAAACATGCTAAAAGTTTTAAGTTTACAGGGTTTCCCTGAAACGCTGCTTATTAAACGGCCGGTTTCCACATAAAATAAGCAATCGCAAGAACATTTGATGGAAGTACGCATACCCAGAAGAGAATAAAAAATTACGCCAGACACTTATCTAGTATTATTCTAAACCCAACAGAGTACTGAACGTTTCCTCATTTGTTATAAACACGCGAAGCTAGCAAAACAATTAAGCAAAAGTAATACAAACTAATTTGTACTTTGTAATGGTTTTAATTCACTTCGAGTCAATGAAAAACGAACGACAACGTTCAAGTCGGAAAAATGTTTCAATTAAATAGTTTTCATGCTTACAGTGGACTTAAATTTGCATAGAACGCGCAAATGTTCTAAAGCTTTTGACTCCACGTGCAAAACCAAAATGCAGATTAGACGGTGTCGAAGGTAGGTGGGGCAAAGCCCTCTTAACTCTTTCAAGTTTAGAACGACCAAAATGAAGAACTTTTGGCGATCGCAAGCGATGGTGTGGAAACCGGCCAGCTGGAAAAAAACAAACTGGACTCTGGAGTGGACCATCTACTAATTGTTATTCAATTACTTAACAAAGTTAAAAATTAACTTAAAAGTTAACAATAAACGTATGTCACGCAATACACTACGCGATTGTATGCTCACGGCAATTAATTTTGACAAAGCACTCTAAGTGTATGGTTCATCCTTCGAGAAAATTCAGAAAACACTTCCTACAAACCCACGAGACAGACATGAGCATTGACAAAAAAAGGAGAAAAAAAGGAGAAAAAGATGATAAACAAGTAAACATGCCATTTTAATCATAATAAAAAACACGGCTGAAATTTCTGAAACAGGCGAGTTTTCTAAAGGCTATTAAGGCAAAAGGTTCAGAAACAAATCATTTCTTGATGAGTACACCCACTTCAAACCATTCAATAAATGCACTTCACTTTTTGCCACCCACCAGGGGTGAAAAAAGCTTTAATTCAAAGAAGAGCCTCAGAACAAACTCTTCAAAAAATACTTTTCAGAAGACAATTCAAAAATTCAAATCTCACCTGCGTCAGAGAGGCGCGTGAGAGAGGCTATTGAAAGGCCTTCACTCTTATAATTTGTACACTTAAGTGAACTGATTTTTTGCACTCTACAGGTGAATTGTCAATATATCAAAAGTTTCAGTGTTAAAATTTATCTGAGTGGGAGAACATTCCATTAGAAGCATGGAGACATGTATAGCATGACATGTCATGTGTATTGTGTGACAAAAAAATAATCAAGTTCATTAACTCTTGAGGTGGTTGCATGACAACAGTTTGCAGCTCAGTAATCCATCA